GTCCTCCCGCAAAAACTTCCTTCTAGATTACACTGATGATTATATGTCCCGTATATGAAAGTATCCTCAGAGATAAACAGCTACTTCAAATGCCCATTATAAATAGAAAGCGCCATTTCAAACATCTCAGGCATCACAAATCTGAAAAACTCAGCAATTCAAGCTCCCCTGACGTATGACGGTGAACTTGACTAGTGATTATGACACAATAATCCAAAGGCCCCGTATGTGAATTACTGTCGTTTGAAAAACAACGTCCAAAAAGAGCAATTCCCTGTACCTCAAAATGAATCGCTCGAAACGACAACCCGACCAGTTATTTATTGCCTTTTCGCAGCAACGAAATTGGGTTCGTCGTGTTTGGACGAAATCAGTTCAGAAATGCATGCACACCATTGCGGATGATGATTAACACTGGTACGATAAAGTCGTCCAGATAAAGTCCAGGTCCAGTCGTACTAGAGTTGATGTCTGTGACACACAGTTCTGCCATCTATTAAATACAATGCATAAGAGTCATACGGCGTGCACAGGGTAGAAAGTCAAAATCATCGGGAATTTCTTCAGACAATATACATGAACAGTGGTTTGTGATCATTTCATTCAGGAATGCAGTCAAAATTTACCAAGTACTCTACGTAATCGAACCACATAGTCCGTGGTATGACGTTAAACTGTCGGCATTCGATATGGCCTTTTCAGAAGAACATGCCATCGAGTCACTATTCAGCATCCTTATCATCGAAATTATGATCTCTCGACTTGCAGACGGAGCGACTCAAAATTCGAATTTACGATGGACCTCAGCTTTCGACCAGAAACAAGTACAAAACATGTCGCAAACGAAATGATTATTCAAAAATACATTACCAACCTCAAAATAATCAGATCCTCTGGTCACAGACTGACGGCCAGCATATTTGTAAATCGCTAATAACAAGTCCGGAAATAAAACAGACTCAACTGGTGGATTTCAGCGATGCTTGTCTCAAGAATGCGATAAAGACAATGTTTCGACTAAATGAACGCTAGTCTTGTGCAAACAAAACGCAATTAAATGCCCAGTAACACTGCAACAGAAAATTAAACAGAATCTGAAACTTTGTATTAGCACGTTAAAAACAATTTTGACACCTGCAACCATGACTCAAACCAATCCACGGCATTTACTTCGAAATAACGAAACTAACCAATCGACTGCTTCCAGCTTACTTTAAATCCTTTAAAGCCATGAAGCACAATTCTGACAGCTCAAGCGTACATCCAAATCGAAAATATCATATGATTCATTGAAATGTCGAGAATTAAGCAAAACAGCCTAGCGCCAAAGGCACTGCAGTATGAAGAGCGAAGCGACTTTGTTCAATTCTTCGACATAACAAGGCGGGGACAGGGGGTGGGCAAAAAATTCTTTCGCCGATGCTGAACACAGCAACAACCTCAAAGCGCCTGAATCTGATGAAGCCGATAATCCTCGAAACGCGTCGCAGGCGATCGTCCGACGAGAACTCGTCAAATGAGACGGAAAACGAACCGTTGTCAATCAAGCATCAAACGATACGCATTGAACACGTTTAAAAGCGGTTTGTTTAATCAGGCCAGCAACGAATGTCGCCGGACGACGAACCAAACAACCAACGTGACGAACAGGTGACAAACATGGACGTCCGTCAACGTTATCACAAACTACACGACCGTTAACAATAAATCGATACCAATAAATAACAATCATAATAAATTTATATCACTAGCTGATTCGACTCGGTTGATTGCTCGACATCTACGAACATAAGAACCTAAGACAAGCAGATACTGTCACAACATTGTCCAACAATGTTTGCAGTAATCATGCATATTAATAAAAAATTAGGTAACAGAAAGCTGCTTTAAAGAACGTACAACTTTCTTAAATATAACACACTGGCTGAGCCCACTTTTCTTTCGCCTACAATATCACAATGCTTAAAAATATAAACGAAGGTGCATGCGACGGCTTCTTATTATTAGTTTTTCTTATTTTCATCTGGAGCTCTATGCAGTATCTCCCCTAAAGTTTTCTCAACCCTCTCTTCTCTGTTAACAGCTGAGTCCAGCTCTACCACTCATCCATTCTTCGCCATTTATTCATTACTTCATTCATTTTTTAGCCCCTTATCTCATTCGACTCGCAAGGTTAGCCACCTCAGCAAGAGGAAAGATGCAAGTTACATCGTCAATTAGAAAAACTCAGTGGAACAGATTCAAAAACCTGATTCTCTGATTTGTGTCTAAAAAATATTTTTAAAATTTGATACTGTTAACCTGACATCTAAATAGCCGGTATTCATATATAGCAGTAGTAATGAGTTACATAAACTCCGATGACACTGGTCATCATTCTAAATCGGTCAAAAAAGAAACTAAATGTGTCCAATGTTGCTTTCCAATAAACAACCACCATCGTCATTACGACAGACAAAAGGAAACCACCAGCTTCGAAAAGACGCAAACACCAAACTACTTGTTATGTCGCCGGCAGTACCGCATTGTTTATTTAAACTTCGGTGGCTGAATATACAATTCCTTTTTTTAGCTCGTCTACATATTAGCATTATAAGACATGTATTTTATCGCTAAGGCAACGATAGAACGGTAAATATGCCAGATTAGTAAGAAACACGGTAGCTTCGATCACACGCTGGTAATCTTCTTCAGAAGAGTATAATGCTTCCAGTGTACCCGCATGGTCCTTTTGGCAAAAATGTTGTCTGCAGCCCCCGCCCCCAGACATACAGAAATTTTATATTTCCAATGTCGATTTTAAACACACAGTATGCTAGTAACTTCTCCGGATTCCAGCGTTTAGCAGGTCGCGGAGCAACACCATAGTGTCGGCGGACGTGCAAAACGGTTACCACTGGCTCGAGGGCTGCTATGAGCACATCTTCACTTGCATGACCCTCCTCAAGCACGCCCAACATACAAAGGGTGGCCTCCACATCGGCTGGCTAGACATTCGGGATGCCTTCGGCTCCGTTTCACACCAGCTGCTGACGCACATCCTGAAGGAGATCGGCCCCTCCCCAGAGCAAGCACTGGGCGTCTTCAGAGACATGTACGAGGACGTCTCCTTCGCAGTCGACACCGACGGCGCAAGCACGGGCGAGATTCCGTTGAAGGCGGGGGGTTAAGCATGGGGATTCCTGCAGCGCTCTCCTCTTCAACTTATTCATGAAGCCTCTCAACATGGATAAGGAGGACGGCCTGGGTTTTTCGTGCAGCGGTCAACGCTTCTCGACTTTGGCCTACGCCGACGATCTGGTCCTGTTCAGTCGTTCGGCAGAAGGCCTGGTCGAGGTGTTGTCGGCCGTCGAAGAGGTGGCCACTCAACTGGGCCTGCAGTTCAATGTCCAGAAGTGCAAAACCCTGTAGCTTCGCTCGGGGAAACCCACCATCCTGGAAGTACTTTCGCTTTGCATGGCCACTCGATCCCAGCTCTCGCTAACATCGACGTCATGCCCTACGTCGGAGCAAGGATTAGCACCGACTGCCCCCTAACACCAGTAGAACACCTCCAAGACGGTGTTCGAGTGGCGGAAGTCCTGTTCCGCTCGAAACTAGCACCATGGCAAAAGTTGCAGGCGTACGGCATG